GGGAGCAGTGGTGAAGATGTCAGGCCCTGGGAGCAGTGGTGAAGACGTCAGACCCTGGAGCAGTGGGGGAAAGCTAAGGGAGGTGGTCCCGGACACCAGGCAAAGACGGGCAGATAAGCACTGACAGCAACTACGGAGATATAGAAGATAATTGGGGCCAGGTGGTTGTGATTAGGCTCCTCTCAAGAGAGTATATAAGAACAGACTTTGGGAGGAGGCTTTTTGCAGGACACAACCGTTATACTAAAGCTGGAGAAGCTCTTGTGTGTATTTCTTATCTGTGGAAGTCTGGGTTGCTGCCAAAGTCTTGTCGGTGTGTTAATTTACCGTGAATAAATTGTCTAGCAGTAATCTTGTGTCGGTGTGACTCATTGTACGGAGGGGGGTCAGAACACATCACTATGATATCCAGAGAACAAGACTTACCACTCCCCACCAGAGAGCATCAGCGTAGCTGGAGAATCCAGTTCGTCCCTCTTCATCCACAGCGTCTTTCTCAGCAAGATAGACAAAATAGGATGAGAAGATTAGGCCCAGGAACCCAATGTACAGGGTAGTTATGAGTTCCTAAGGAAAACAGAAATGAATTTCTTAGAGCTTGGACATAATAGCAATAGCACTTAAGACTTATATACTGATTCACAAGGCTTTACAGCCCTCTCTAAGTGGAGTCAATCTGTTGCCCCCAATAATCGGGGGCCTCATTTTACCGACCTCGGAAGGATGGAAGGCTGAGTCAACCTTGAACCAGTGAGAATCGAACTGCCGGCAGTGGGTAGAATTAGCCTGCAATACCACATTCTAACCACTGCGCCACCCCGGCTCGTAATTTTATTGATTCAATTGTACACTGCCCAGGGTCTCTTCTCTGGTTAAGAAACATGAAATATAAATAAACACAACATTCCATGTTTATAATACTTTTAAATAATAACATATTTCATAGTTCATGTTCTTGTTTGTTGACCTTCTGTTATTAAAAAAAAAAAAAAACTGATTGTGTGATTTTCATGTAACGGTTATCTCCCGGGGAACCACAATACAGGTAGTCCACGAATTACGCCTGGAATGGAGCTTGCCTTATTACAATCATAAGTTGTCACAGTCGTAAAATGGGTTGGTCACACACAACCAATCTGATTTTGTAGCCTTTTTCACAGTGGTCATTATGTGAATAGGATGGTCATAAGAATTAAGGCATGGTTTTGCCAAAACCCAGAAATAAGTGTCAGGTTTGGGCAAAAAATGTGGTGAAACGTGCTTCCACGATCATGGGATGTTGCAAACAGCCGTAAGTGCAGCTGTATTGATCCAAAATACAATCATTTGACTGTGAAAGCGCAGGTTGGAACTTCCGAGCTAGTCAGAAGCCCTCTTTTTCAGGTAGGTTGTAACTTGGTTGTAAGTCGAGAGCTACCAGTAAACATTTATCCAACAACTGTCTAATTAGACTCCTACAGCTAAGATAAATTATAAGCAATAGTATGCCTTTTAGAAGACACAATATATGCTGTATTTTTGGACTATAAGACGCACCGGTGTATAAGACGCACCAAGATTTTGAAGAGGTAAGTAAGAAAAAGGAAGTTTTGCCTTCCCTCAGCCCCCAGCCGCACTCTGCAGGCTTCAGCAGGACAAAAACACCCCCGTTTCTGCCCTGCCCCAGCCCTGCTGAAGCCTGCTGAGGCCTGTTGGGGGCTGAGGGAAGGCAAAAAAGCCTCCATTTTTGCAAAAAATGGTTTGTTTTTCGCAAAAATAGGATGCAGGGCAGGGCTTCAGGAGGCTAAAAATGGCTGTATTCAGTGTGTAAAACACATCAACATTTCCACGCTCTTTTGGGGGGGAAAGGTGCATCTTATACTCTGAAAAATACGGTAAATTGAGTTTCAGTCCCAAGGATATTACGTCCCCATAACAACATACACACATACCATTGGTGGGTTCTGGGAGGTACGGCCCGGTACGGGTGTACAGGTGGTAGCTGGGAGTAGCCGTCACCGTACCACAACAGTGGCTCGTTTGGCCCACCCACCTGCGTTTCTTACTGCTTTTTGATGCAAATGGGCCAATTGCGCACATGTGCATAGCATGTGCCACCTGCGCGACCTCCGCTGAGCAGCTAAGTGTCGCTGGGCGGTGGCGTGCACATGCGTATGCAGCATGCATGCCCAACAAGAATGCCCGGCCCCGATGCAGCGTACTGTTTGCAATGGGCTTTGGAACCCACCACTCACAGACACAGACACAGACACACACACACACACACACTGTTTCCCATGCTAGCCCATATCGTTACAATATGGAATTCCCCCTTCCCCTATTAGTGTAGGTCACATTTTCCAATTGAGTGCTGTTATTTTGTTATGAGAAAACTCTCTAGGCTTGGCAGACACCTGCCAACCTGTCCTTGGCTCTCACAGCTCTTCTGCTTAAAGCCTGGTGCCTGCATTCCATCCAACCCTCCCAGCCCCTCTTTAGTTCTTTGTTAAGTTGAAAAGCGATAATATTTGCAACAGCAGAAGTGCGCTTCCGTTTGACATGGTACCTGGCGATGGATGAATACCACAGACCCCAAGAGTCTCCAAGTCCCACCTTGTCGGTCTACATGAAGCATGCGAAGGATCTGAAGAAACCGGATTCCCCTTAAAAGAAACGTTGGAAGAGAAAATGTAGAGTGAAGATCAAGACTTGTGCTCTCTATGTGTCAAGGTCTGCAATTAGGAGCGATGGGAAGCCTGGCACTTCAGATAACTTTTATTGTCTTTTTTACTGTGAGCACACTGGCCCACATTAATGAAAATTAAATTCTGATGCCTGTATTTCTACTCAAACCCATATACAACGCATTCAATATATATGCCTAAAATATACCTGCACCATACATACCTCTACTCTACCGACCTACATCTATCTGCCTGCCTGCCTGCCTGCCTGCCTGCCTGCCTGCCTGCCTGCCTACCTACCTACCTACTTACCTGTCTACCTATCTATCTGTCTGCCTGTCTTTCTACCTCTACCCACCTACCTCTACCTACCTGCCTGCCTGCCCACCTATCTATCTACCTACCTACCTACTTACCTGTCTACCTATCTATCTGTCTGCCTGTCTTTCTACCTCTACCCACCTACCTCTACCTACCTGCCTGCCTGCCCACCTATCTATCTACCTACCTACCTCCATCCATCCAC